CTGCAAAGCCTGCAGAGGTTTTTTTCAAGCCTCTGGGAGGCCAAAAAAGGCCTCAAACTGGCCAAAAATCAGCTGTGAGGTGCATTGTGGGTAAAGGGGCGGCGTGGGGGGATTGTGCAAGCATGTGCAGGGGGCATGGGGGGCACATTCTCTTCTGGGTGCTGGCATGTGAGCACGCGAGTGCCAGTGTGCGCACAAATTTTGGCACAGAAGCCCAAAAAGGTTAGCCACCACTGCTCTAGGCTGATGTCCTTTTTTTTTTATTAGCAAAACACGTCCTTTCAGTAAAAGGCTGTATTAAGAATCTTACTTGTACAGCTCAACTTATAAAAGTAGCTTTGTTTTGATATTGGTCATAACATGATTAATAATAACCTCTCCCCTCCACTATTCTCCTAGGAATCTTATACGTCTAGGGGTCTAATATCCCATTAAAAAATAAGGAATGCCTGTTATTGTTTAGTAACATATTTATGATTTGGCTGGTTTGGGAGGATGACAGCTCATTCCATTGTGTCCAGTAGGAATAATTGCATTTTTGTTCTGAAGAATTACTCCTACAGCTGATATTGTAAAGGACCCCAAATGTATTACATTCAGTTCCCAATAATTTAGAATTGTTGTTTATATTCTTGTTATACCACTATTATTAATATTTCCAAATTAAATTTTTTAATTGCTTCTCAAGGAAGATGATCACCTTATTAAGGAAACATCAATCCTTCCCCTTCCACATCAGCAGGGGTTGAAGAGGAAAGCTGATACACCTCTTGGGTCTCCACTGGAACCTGGACAGATACTTGAGAAGACCGAAGACAGCAAAGTCAAGCTCAAAATAAGGGTAGGACGATGGGAGATAGTGGGAGAACCGTGCATGCTCCAGTCTTAAACATCAGATATCCCTTATATCGTTCTATATTTGCCTGTGAAAAAAAATCCAGCCCCTTTTGAAAGATGGCTTGTATTTTATCACATAATTCTTTGAGTTATGGACTACATAAGATACTCCGAGTAGCTTTTGACACTACTATATCTAGTACCGTGTTTTCCTGAAAATACAACCTATCCCAAAAGTACGCCCTACCTTGATTTTTACATGTGCGCCCAATATAAGCCCTATCCCCCAAATAAGTCATGATTAACACGCCACCCATTCTAGGGTGCACAGGGTGGGGCAAGGAACATGGGTAAGAATCAAGCTTGGGTGGAGTGGAGCTGCCCTACTTACCAGGTCTTGCACACCTCAACACCTGCCTTGCCTTGCCGGCCCACTTCTGCGGCCACTTGCCACCGCTTCCATGCATTGCCCCCGGCCTCTGTTTTGCTGTCAGAGGAAAGGCCTCTGCAGCTGAGAAACTGGCTCCGGATAGATGTTCACAGCACCCCCCGGCCTTGTTTCACCATCAGAGGCCTTCTGGAAAGGCCTCTGCAGGCAAGAAAGAAGGTCCCGATTGACGTGCGCGTCGCCCCCAGCTTTCGTTTAGCCATCAGAGGCCCTTCCGGAAAGGCGTCTGCAGCCGATAACAGCTCCGGATTGATTGGCTGAAGGCCTTTCCTGAAGGAATCTGACAGCAAAATGGAGACCAGGAGCGATGCGCGCAAGTGGTGACAAGCAGTTGCAGAAGTGGGCAGGTAGCGGGTCCCTGCTGGGTGGCGCTGTCAGTGCCGCCGCCACCACAAGGTGAGTCAGGGGAAGACACCCCCAGTAAATAAGATCTGGTGCCTCTTTTGGTGGCAAAAAAATTGTAAGACCGAGTCTTATTTTCAGGGAAACATGGTATCTTCATCTGTCCCATAGTGCTAAGAAATTTCTAATACCAAAACGATCAGACTGAGTAACCCATTGTCTGCTGCATTTTTACATTTGTATTAATAACCATATCTCAAGGTGCATAAACAAATAGTTCTCATTCTAGGAGCAATTGACAGTAAATGAAATTAGGCTGTTTTAAAAACCAAGATCTTTGTTTTTAAACCAGCTTGATTATTATAATTATTTTCCATAGGTGTGGAAAAGAAAAAAAAGCCACATTTTAGCTGGTGATTAGCACTCCTTATATATGTTTTGGTTGTGTTTGTTTTCTAATATTGCAGTTTTCAAATTCCCAAGAAGAAGAAGAGATTGATATGGACACGGTTCATGACAGTCAAGCTTTTATCTACCATCATTTGAATATGCTGGAAAGACCATCAACACCAGGTTAGTCTTGGGTGGATAAAAGACAATTTTTTGGGGGGGAGGGGAAACTATTCTAATATTTAACTACCAAAATCTGATTTAAAATTTTTAATTTCAAAAGGCAGTAATCTCTTGTTTACCAAAGTGTAAAAAAGTGGTTATCATTCACTCACAAAAACATGCAAAATCTGTGCTTAAAAGTTACAGTTTGTTCATGTTCATATATAATATATTCACATGGTCATTCATTTCAGTCTTTCATCTCCTGATCATGACTTCAGTCCATGCTTTTAAATGTCCATTTCATATGCATAAAGAAAGAATTAAGATGGAAGTGTTTCCTGTGCTTAGATGATGATGAAACTAGCCCTAGTTAGGATAAAAGGACATTTATAATGTACTCCTCTGGAATCTACAGTGCAGCAGAAGTACAGTTTCTTTACATCTCTGTGGAGATTCTCAGTCAACCAGGTCATGGTTGTCCCAACAGTGCTTTTTCAGAAGTTAGTTGGACTTTTGTACATCGGAGAAAAACAAATAATTCACCAAACGCATGGGACAACATAGGAGAACAAACCCATTAGGACAAGATTCAGCAGTCCATCTGCATTTGAAAGATAAAGGTCACTCTTTTGAAGAGCGCAAAGTCCATATTCTGGACAGAGAGGACCTCTAGTTTGAAAGAGGGGTCAAAGAGGCCATTTATATTGAGATTGAACAACCCTCTTCCAGCAGAGGGGAAGGGATATGACACCGCCTAACTCCTGTTTACAACACAATCCTTTCAGCAGTTCCAAGAAGGTTGCACTTTCAGGTGACCCTGAGGACAGAAATAAACCTCCAAGTGGCCTCAACGACTCTCAGAAAGAGTGCTAATGACCAGATGACTGCAAGGAATATAAGTCCTTCCGTTCTCCACCATTCAGTCAGAACTGAAGAAGCTTCTTGAATGAGAAGCAAAATGTCTTCAGGGAAAAAACAGAAGTCCAGTTGCCTTTTGAAAAAGCACCTTTGGGACAATTTATTTGTTTGCTTACAATTAAGAGTCACTTAGGTAATGAGGTGGGCAGTGCATAAATTTGATAAATAAAAGTAAACAATACAAGAGCACAAGCGAGTGGTCAGACGAGATCTGAACTCATCGGTAGCCTCACACTGCAGTGATCATAGACACATACAGTTTTGCAGCTACTAAGTTTGTTGGGCGAGCGGGCATAAAACAGCCAGGGAAATGATCGAAGCCTGGGAAATAGGCCCCTTGTTGGTCAATACCATCAGCCTATCAGCTACTTAGAAGGTGGGTGCTGGACAGCACAACAAATGCCAGCTATTGACTTAAAAGCCAGCCATCAACATACCCCAATCAACATCTAAAAAGCTACTTACAACAGGTACTATAAATACCACACAGAGAACAGCACACACTCTTCTAGTGAGAAGTTCCCTGAAGATGGGTTCTAGCACGAGTCCAAAAGCACAGAGATAAAACCTCTGGTCCCAGTGACCGACCCAGATTAGATCCTACAACATTATCCTGGGACACACCTATATTTGTGAGAAATAAACAAATATTTGTATACTTCCTACTCATTAGACTTTTGGCAGTTTTCAAACTGAAAAGCATTTAAAATTTCTAACATACACATACATGCTATTGGTGGAAAATGTAAGTAACTTTTAAGAATCTATAAGCCAAAATTGGCTTCTTTTAAGTGTATCTGACCAGTATGACCTTGCTCCTGTGGTACAAGTAGAATACTGATAATTAGATCCCCAAGGCAGCGGATCTTGTTGTTATAAGGAAAAGCAGAGCAATCAGCTCCTTCAACTGTCTGTAATAGATCTTCTGAAAAGGATTTGTTGAGTACCATATTAGTAAAGCTTTAGTAGTCAGGAAGAATGTAAGACCAGCATCCAACTAAATCATGAACTGCTTAAACATCTTTGTGTGCATCCTTAGGCAAATCAGATGTAAGCTAAATAAATTCAATAGCCGGTATTAAGAGTTTTTAGGGCAGACTCTACCATGAAGGAAAAGTTAATTAGATTGAGCATCTCCCTTCTTAAAATGTACTTCAAATAGACTATAGTTTTTCTCAGTGAGCCATATCTTCAGGCCATTCCCGCATAGCACTTAGAAAGCACAATTCTGGCAAATAGCATGTGCTTTTGAAAAAAAAAAAATTCAAAAGCTTCCCATTTCAAATGGCCACTGTGATGGATGTGGAAAACTTGTCCCAAATTTCCCATTGTTTTCACTCAACTGGGGACTCTTCCTTTTGGGAGAGGAACAATCATTTAACAAACGTGGTCAATTCAGGATGTCAAAATTCCTGTGAGTTGACCAAAGCAGAGAGCATATTTCAAAGAGTAAGTTGGAAATATGTCAGATCCAATCATTTCGATGGGCAGACCATTTTATAAATCACAATGCCAGAAGAGGGTTTCAATATGTGTTAACAAACTTTTATGTAATATTTTTAATTGTAAGCTGTAAATACAAACTGAAAATAAGAAATGATTTGTTTTTATCGGAATGGAATGGAATGGAATGGAATAGAATAGAATAAGCTGGAAGGGACCTTGGAGGACTTCTAGTCCACCCCCCTGCTAAGCCCTCTTTAGACAAATGGTTGTTCAATCTCTTCTTACAAACTTCCAGTGTTGGAGCATTCACAGCTTCTGGAGGCAAGTTGTTCCACTGGTTAATTGTTCTAATTGTCAGGAAATTTCTCCTTAAATCTAGGTTGCTCCTCTCCGTGATTAGTTTCCATCCATTGCTTCTCATCCTGCCTCAGGTGCTTTGGAGAATAGCTTGACTCTGTCTTTTTCGGGGCAACCCTTGAGATACTGGAACGCTGCTATCATGTCACCCTGCTCCTTCTTTTCATTACACTAGACATTCCCCAATTCCAGCAACCGTTCTTCATATGTTTTAGCCTCCAGTCTCCTAGTTGTCTTTGTTTATGAACCCTCTTTTATTATTTTTTTATAATAACTCAAAAGTGGGAAATATACCTTATGCTCCCCCTTCTCCTATTTTTCCCACCACAACAGCCCTATGAGGTGGGATGAGATGAGGCAGAGTGATTGGGCCGAAGTCACCCAACCAGCTTTCATCCCTAAAGCCAGACTAGAACTCACAGTCTCCCGGTGATTGGTTCCAAATCATTCAGCCAACTTTCATAACTAAGACATACTAGAACTTCTTGTGATTGGCCCAAAGTCATTCAGCTGACTTTCACATCTAAGGCAGGACTAGAACTCACAGTCTTCTGGTTTCTAGTCTGGTGCCTTAACTGCTAAACCAAACTGATGCCGTGTTTCAGAGAGTGACCATTTCTCAGGCCATAACATAAGTGGTAGGGTACATCCTATGAACTCAGAAGAGAGAATGCAAGTCAGCTGGACTGGAAACAATGACCATTGTTTAAAATCTCTAATGAACCTATTCCAGATTAGAGAAAGCAGTACCAAACTGGGTGGGCCAATATTTTGGCTTGCTATATCATGACTTTCTGTATTTGAATGGTTGTATGGCCTCCATGTGGCATTTATTAAAATCAAAGGACTGTTTGGACATATTCTTCTAAAGCACCGTTCCCATTTTTCATATAACCAAAGGATAATTTTTGAGCCCCTTGCTGAGAACAAAATCGGGTAGCTTTAGTACAGACACAGCACTGTTTGGTTGCAAAGATGACTGAAGCTATTATTTCAGCTTCTTTTTTAAATAACAAAGAGGATAGCAGCTCATCTGAATAATCTGCAAATGGATTGAGTTAAAACTTGAAGACCCAAAAGTGGCCTCTAGAATACTTACGACTTTTTAAAATTTGACATATTTCCAACTATGACTAGAGTTTTTCCTGTTCTCAAGCCAGTTTTCTAACATAGTCTTGTACTGTCTTCACTTGATTCTTTAAAACAATTGATGTTTTATTTTGCTGGGGATACTTAGCAGATTTCTTCTGGAAAATCTAAGGCACAATTCTCTACATGGATAAGTCTTTTTTTTTTTTTGTCACCCATAGGTTGTAGCCATGTCAGGTCTTTATAACATGATGGCCATTTAATTTTCAGGCTTTGTACAGTCTGAGATTTAGAACTTAATTTTATATTTGCATGGCAGATATCCTCAAAGTCCATGAAGTCTACATCTAGCTAAATGGCAAATTTATGGCAGATTTCCAGAAAGTGAAAATTCAAAGAAACATTTGGGCTAAAGTTCTGGAATTTGTATTGGATTTAAGTAGGGAGAGTTTGAAAACATAACAGATAAGATAAACTCTGCTTGTGGGTTGTTGTTTTTTTAATTATGTTAGAGTAAGCATCATAAAGGATAATTCAGGGCAGTTCTTATACCAATGGGTTCATACTTGCAAATGGAGATATATGTTCCTAAAATTGGTCGTTTATGATGTTAAGGTGCCTTGACGAGACTTTGGACTTGAAAATTGCCTAAGAACTGTAATGTGGAAAACAGTCACTGAAGTGTTATGTATAATCCAACAGACAAGTTTAATTAATATATGCCTGTGGCAGTTCTTTTGAAATTATCTCTGTCATTTTCTACTATTATCAGAGAATAACTTTGCAGGATCAGCCCAAGGCTGTAAACCAGCTTTTTATTTCATTTTTCCTGTCTATCTATATTGTAAGCTTTAACAACAGTAAGAACTAATACAAACTTTAAAAAGGAAAGGAAGAAAAAAAGAAAAAGCTAAAAGTTTACAAAGAAAAAAAGTAGAAGAAAAATAGAAGGAAAAAAATAAAGCAAGATTATAAAGAAGTGACTTTAAATTTAATCATAGATACAAGTGCAATTACATTTTAACCTTACTTTACTTTATTGATTAGCTCTTGGGCCATATCAAAGTGCAGAGTTCCAGACAAATTATTACTAAAATCTAATAAAAACAATTTAAAATGGAATTGGATAAAATACAATTTAAAAGGAAATTGGAATAAAATATGATTTAAATGAAATTGGAATAAAATACAATAATTTAAGATATAGA